CGCTGCCCCGGGAGTGTCACGAGCGTGAAGAAGCACTGTCGCGAGCGCAAGCTCCAGAGGGGAGACGGGGAGGAAGAGGAAGAGGGCCGGCCGCGGAGGGGGAGGACAAGGGGGGCAGGCGCCCTCACGCGGCGAGGCCGCAGCGGGGCGCGGGGAGGGCGGCCGAGCCGGTGTGAGTAGCAGCCCCTGGGCAGCGGGCGCGGGACGGCATCACGACCGCACCCGGCTGCAGGGGGCCCGCCCTGCAGTGACATGGCGCCGATCCAGCGTCGGCTGGCGTCGGCCCGCGTCGGCCCAGCGTCGCTCTCCGCCGACCCGCGTCGGCTCGTGCCGGCCAACTGGATGGTCTGGGAGGCTCGCGTCAGCTGCCACCGAAGGGCCACCGGGCTGGGTCTACGGTCAAGTCGGGCGTGCCCCCCTACAGTGGGATTTTCGACGCAGGGTCGGAGCCCGGCAAGTCGGAAGGGTGGAGGCCAGAGCAGCAGTGGCGACGGCGGCACCAGTAGATGTAAGTCGGGCGTGTCTCTCTACGGGAGGGATATTCAAGAACAGTCAGAACACAGTTTGGGGACGATGTTTTGACTATTTCTGGCTATTTGTGAATATTTTTTGGGATATGTTTTATTATTCGTCCAAAATCCGCCTGTACAGTCGGGGCGTTGACCTAAGGAACCCTAAATAAGAAACGAGGTTCCTCTTTTCCATAAGGTAAACTTCGGCTTTCCATCGAAAGCCTCAGGACAACCGAAGGCAAACTGCGAAACAATCAAGGAGCACGGAGCCCCTCCCCAACTCAAAGGGTTCTTTCTTCAGCGCCCCGACTGCGGAAGGACATGCCCGATCTTATAGCAGATGGAGCGGGGGGTCGGTGCGGCTGCTTGCCGGGGGTTGCGCAGGGGAGCTGCAGTGGCAGAGCAGGGGCCGCGGTGGCTCGCCGGGCTGGGCGACGCAGGGGAGGAGGAGGAGGACGAGGTTTAGGAGGCGGAGGAGGAGGAGGAGGAGGTTTAAGAGGCGGAGGAGGAGGAGAACGAGGATGAGGAGGAGGAGGAGGTTTAAGAGGAGGAGGAGGAGGAGGAGGAGGAGGAGGAGGAGGAGGAGGAGGAGGAGGAGGAGGAGGACGGGTCGCCTAAGCCCTTCGGAGAAACCCTCCAGGGCGGGGCGCGTTCGCTGCGCGAGCCGGCGGGGGGGCCTGGAGGAAGCGGCGGGCGAAGAGGCCGGGCGCAGCCAGTACTTTGCGGCGCCGAACACCAAAAGGGCGCCGAAAACCAAAAGGGCGCCGAAAACAAGAGGGGCGCCGAAAGCCAAAGGGGCGCGCGCCGAAAACAAGAGGGGCGCCGAAAGCCAAAGGGGCGCGCGCCGAAAACCAAAAGGGCGCCGAAAACCAAAGGGGCGCCCAAAACCCAAGAGAAAAGGGCGCCGAAAACCAACGGGGCGCGGAGAGCCAAACGGGCGCGCCGAAAACCAAAAGGTGCGCCGAAAACCGACGGGGCGCCGAAAACCAAAGGGGCGCCGAAAACTAAAGGGGCACCGAAAACCGCAAGAGCGCCGAAATCGAAAAGGGGGCGCCGACAACCACAAGGGCGTCGCAAACCATACGGGATCCGTAAACCAAAAGACTGGCGCCGAAAATCGACGGGGCGCCGAAATTGAAACGGGTGCCGAAAACCAAAAGGGCGCCGAAAACAAAAGGGGCGCCGAAAACCAACAGGGCGCCGAAAACCAACGGGGCGCGGGAACAAAAATGGGCGCCGAAAACAGAAGGGCGCCGAACATCAAAGAGGCGCCGAAAACTAAAGGTCGCCGAAGTTTGTTATTGGTGTAGGTTTGTGTTTCGTTGTTTGCTTTTCGCACAAGCCTCAACCGGCGCCCCTCGCCCCGCCCCGGCCCTGTAGCCCTCGCCGCAGGCTTGGTTTGTTGTTGGTTTCGTTTGTCGCGTGTTCAAGTTTCGCCCCGTTTTTCGTTTTGTTGCCAGCGTGGTCTGCGAGTTTCGTTTCGTTGCTCGTTGTGTTTTCTCGCTGCATGGCGGCCTCGTTTCGTCGTCGGTTTTCGTTTGGCACCCGCTTCGTTCTGAACGCTCGGTTTGGCCGCTCGGCGTCGTTTCGTTCTTACCCTTGTCGGCGGCCCCTGGAGGCTTCAGAATGATTGTCAACAGCTTTCTTTGGCCGTCGTCCCTCCTGCCCTTCAGTCGGGCCTGTCCCTCTGCACGAGGAATATTCAAAAATAGTAAATTAATGTCTGGGGGCGATTTTTTTTTGTTAATTTTGAACATTGTTGGGTACATTCCTGAGGTACATAAAACTTTTCGTCCAAAATCCGCCTGTAGGGGGACAGGCCCGACCTAATCTTATCCCAACCCTCAGGGTGTGGACGCGACGGCCCTCCCATCGCAACCCTCGTCGCTGCGTTCGGTTGTGGCGACGCCGCGCGCCCGGATTCTCAGCAGCGTTGAACCTCCCGCCGTGTGCCATCTTGGGGAGCGCAGACTTCAGACTGACCTTCATGAGTCTTTTGTGGCCTTCTTATGATTTCCCCCAAGTAGTCCTTGTACTGAAGGGGTCCTAGCGGAGGTTGAAAGATTTGGCGAAAGCTTCCCGCCGATGTTGGTAGCAAGTTGGGTTCCCGGGTTCCCGGTTCCAGGTTCCCGGACTCCCGGTTATTGGTTCCAGGCCGATTTCGGTGGGTTCTGGGTTCCCGGGCTCCCGGGTTCCCGGTCGATCTCTTCAGCGAAAACCATCCACTGATCGAGGTTTTTCTTTGGTGTAATTAAAACCATACCGTGGGGGCGATAATTAAGGAGTGTTCCCAGGAGGCTTCAGACATTGGGGGATTCCTTCTCTGATGAGGGCGGCGGTGGCATGCATGGCGAAGCCAAGATTGGTGCTCCACCTGCTTTCCAGACGCGGAGTCCTGATCCAGTGGTTCCTTATCCAATGTCCTCAACGTGTCTGGACGCTTGCAGACCCCCCCGCAGGGGCCTCTGGAGGACTCCGAGCGGGGACCTCCGCAAGGACCCCCCGCCGCTCTTGTGGGGGCCTCCGGAGATCCCCAGAGAAGGCCTGGCAGTGCCAACGGGGGGTCACCACGAGGGGGGTCAGCAGGTCCTCTTGGACATGGAGGGTCGAGGAGGAGGGGAGATCGGGGATCGAGGAGGGTTCCTGGGGGCTGAGGATCGATTGAGGATCGAGGAGGCATCGAGGAGGATCGATGGAGGATCGAGGAGGGAGGGCTGGGGCGTTCTTGGGTCTTCCTCGGGGTCCTGGGGGGTTCTGGGGCCTCCGGGCCGCTTCCCTGCCCGGGGGAGGTAGCGACCCCTCCAGTGGTGGTCCCCGGCGCTGCTCGGGGAGGCTCAGACCCCCATGTGGGCGTCTCGGGCCGGACGAAAGGGGGGGATAGGGAAAGGGGGGGCTACAAATTTTGCTGCATGTAGCTGTTTTCGGCCTCACCGAGGGGCCCATTCCTCGATACATAGTTGCCTCTGGCGCCTGGAGGCGCCGGGAAAATCAGCTAGGTGAGCTGATTCTCAAACCCCCCTTTTGCTATCCCCCCCTTTCGCCCGGCCCGAGCGTCTCCGAGAGTCTCGCGACGAGGTTTCTGTTCGCGAGCTCCGCCGCTGGGGTGCACGTTTTCGGGCCCTTATAGGGCCATCGGGAGACGGCCCGCGCGGCGCGAAGACGAGAACCACATGTTGAAGACCACTGCCATCCATCCGCGGAATTATTATGATTTGTAAAGCGAATGTGCGCGGCGCTAAGACGCGAATCACATTCTGAAATATTTTGAAAACCGCCCGCTTTCAATATGTGAAACTCTTGCCAATGTTGAAAACGAATGTGCGAGGCGCTGGGGCGAGAGCCACATTTTGAAAATCGCCCACCCTCAATATGTGAAATGCTTACAATTGTAGAAAAGGGATGCGCGCGGCGCTAAGGCGAGAGTCAACATTTGAGAACTACCCGCACTCGATTTGTGAAATTGTTGCCAATGTCTGATCTTCAGGGTCACAAGTGGTGAGGAAGTCTCAAGCGAAACGCCCGGTCCGCCCTTTCGACCTGCCTCGGGGTGGAACAGGGAGGAGTTATCTGTAAGGAGAAGGAATGGAGGACGAGGAGAAGGAGGAGAACGACGACGACAGTGGCTTCGCGTATCGCCGCCAGCCCATCCAGACACGATGCCCAGAGCGGTTGCCCTAAACGAGGGAGCGTGGCATAATTCGGAGACGTCCGACGCCTGTCTGGGCCAAAGACCCCTTGGATGTGTTCTTGGATCTGCTGGGGGGTGTCTTGAGGGCTTCTGAAAGGTACCTTGCGACGTTTTGAGGGCCTCCTGCTGGCTCTTGGGGGGCCTATTGGAGCGTCTTGGTTGCCCCTGGTGGGCCGCTTGGAGGCCTCCTGGGGGAGGCCATCGATCAAAGAAAAGGGGGGACCTACAGCGTTGCCCTCCTGGGAAGCCAAAATACACTGTAGGTTCAAGACGAAGCATTGTGTGTTGCTTTCTCGCTGAGGCCCTGTTTGGAAGCTCCGATCGGTCGCGACCCCCCTCCCTGTCCAAACCCAGGTGGGGCGGCTGTGGGAGGGGCAAACCCCATCCCGAAGGGGAAGAAGGGAGGTTTGGAAGAGGAAGCGCGCTAAACCACCTGCGCCCAGAGGGCTGGCGGGATTTTGCTCTGGCCGCCTCCGACTGGCCGTCGCATCAGGGTGCGGGGACGGAGAGGCAGAGGCGTCGCGAGCTCGAGGCGAAGCGCACGGAGCTCGGCGAGGTCGCTACCACTTGTCCACAGGCGACCGCGAAGCACACAATGGGGGGCCACCGGGCCCAGTCGCGCGCACTCGCGCCTTCCAAAGTCTCGAGGATCAGCCCAGCTCGTCTCCGCAGGCTCCGTCGCCAGTCGCGTAAGCAAAAGCAGCGCTCGATCGTTGATCCCCCGCCTTCGCCCCGCGCCCACCCCGAGGCTCGACCTGGACTCCAACATGACCGCCGCGAAAGGCCTGGCGGCTCTGACGGACCCCGCCCCTGCCAGAAGCTCGCCAGGGGCAGGGGCAGGGCTCAGGGAGACGGTGGGCCATCCACCGTCCTCCTCTTGCCGCCCTCCACCTCCACCCCTCCCGCTTCTCCCTTTTCTCTGCCTCTCATCCTCGTTCCTCCTTCTCCTCCTGCACCTCCTCCCCCTCTTCCTCCTCCTCCCCCTCCTCCTCCTCCTCCTCCTCCTCCTCCTCCTCCTCCTCTCCTCCTCCCCTCCTCCTCCTCCTCCTCCTCCTCTCCTCCCCCTCCTCCTCCTCCGCCTCCTCCTCCTCCTCCTCCTCCTCCTCCTCCTCCTCCTCCTCCTCCTCCTCCTCCTCCCCCTCCTCCTCCTCCTCCTCCTCCTCCTCCTCCTCCTCCTCCTCCTCCTCCGCCTGCTCCTCCTCCTCCTCGTCCTCCTCCTCGGTGGCTTGGTAGCGGGCCCCACAGCCTTTTTGTGGCCCCGCGCGGCGGGCGCCCGCCCGCGCCGTAGCCCCCGGCCCCGGGCTGCCGCCCTGCGCGCCGCTGCAGCCCAGGCATCTGCCTGGCGGTGCTGCGGTCTCGTGATTCTACAGGCTTACGCCACATCCGCCGGCCCCTTTCTGTGAGCGTTGCGAGGCTAGGAGTTTCTGGCCAGCGGCGTCTTGTGTGAGGGTGCGGTGTCGCGCACGGGTGGTGGCAGATACGTAGGGTGTCCAAATGTTTGCGTGATGCCGGTGGTCTGGGGTGTGTTTTGCGAGCGCCTTGCGTGCTGTGCACCCGGGTGCGGGGTGTCCTTCTGGGAGGTCGGCCTTTCGACCCGCAACCAAGTGGAGGACCACCGGAAGACGAAAGGAGCAAGAGTAGTGTGCGGAAGCTGTGATCGGCGAGGCATCACCGCGAAAGATGTGGCAGATGAGTCGGAACGGGTGAAGAGGCTGTTGACGTTCGCAGCGCGTACGGATCAGTTTGCGCGGCAGCAGCACATTAGCGCCGAACAAGAAAGTGAGCACGTCGCGAGGAAGAGCAAGGCTGTATGCGCGGAGTGCAAAGCAGTTGGCTTGACGGCTCGCAATACGGAAGCGTCTGGGGGTCTTTTGGGGGCCTCCTGGGGGCCTCTTGGGGGCTCCTTGGGGCGTCTTGGCGGCCTCTTGGGGGCCTCTGGCGGCCTCTTGGGGCACTCTTGGGTCCCCCTGGGGCTCGTGGGGGTGGAAGGCTCGATTTTGGAATTTTTGGTTGCCCTCTTGGGCCCCAATTGGTGCCGTCTTGGAGCCTTCTTGGGCCGTCTTGGGGGCCTCTTGGGCCGTCTTGGGGCCATCTTGGGCCGTCGTGGGGCTGTCTTGGGGGCCTCTTGGGCCGTCTTGGGGCGGTCTTCGGGGCCTCTTGGGCCGTCTTGGAGCGTCGGAAAGCCCACGAGGCGAATTTGTGAAAAGCGTACGTTTTACAAAGGAAATGAACAAATTTCTGCGACTCGGGACCCTGTTGGGGCGCATCTTGGAGGCCTCCTGGGGGCGTCTTGGGTCACCTGGAGGTCATTTCGGGTGTCTTCGATCGCTCTTGGACCGTGTGGGACCACGTTGAGCTCTCTTGGAAGCCATTTGGAGCACTCCTGGAGCGCTCTTGGGGCCGTCTTCGGGGCTCTCTTGGGCCGTCTTCGGCGCCTCTGGAGCCGTCTTTGGGCCCTCTTGGGCTGTGTTGGGGCCCTCTTGGAAGCTTCTTGGACCGTCGGGGCGGTCTCGGGGGCCTCTTGGGCCGTCTGGGAGCGTCGGAAAGCTCAAAAGGCGAATTTGTGAACAAATGCGCGTTTTACGAAGGGAACGGGCCAATTTGTGCGTCTAGAGGTCCTCCTGGGACGCATCTTGGATGCCTCTTGGGGCCTTTTGGGGGCATCTTGGTCCTTCCGGAGGCCATCGTCGGTGTCTTTGATCGCTCTTGGACCGTCTGGGACCATATTGAGCTCTCGTGGAGGCCACTTGGAGCGCTCCTGGAGCGCTCTTTGGGCCGTTTTCGGGGCCCTGTTGGGCCGTTTTGGACGCCTGTTGGGTCGTCTTGGGGCCCTCTTGGGCTATCTTGGGGCCCTCTTGGAGGCTTCTTGCGCCGTTTTGGGGCGGTCTTGGGGGCCTCTTGGGCCGTCTGGGAGCATCGGAGAGCCCAGAAGGCGAATTTGTAAAAATTGTACGTTTTACGAAGGGAATGAGCAAATTTCTGCGTTTAGGGACCCTCTTGGGGCGCATCTTGGAGGCCTCGTGGGCCTCGTGGGGACCTCTTGGGCCGTCTAGGAGGCCTCCTAGCCCGCCTTTGGGCCATCTTGGGCGTCTGGGAGCGCTCGTTTGGCGTCTCGGGGCCCTCGTGGGCCGTCTTGGAACCCTCTTGGGGCCTTTTTGGCCCATCTTTAAGCCCTCTTGGGCCTGGAAGAGCCCGTGACGCGCTCGTCGGCCCCCCCCCCCCCCTTCCTCCAAATCGACCGGACCGGGCTCCCGGGGGAGGGGTTTGGGGAGGGAACATTTCACACGCCGATGATCCCCAAGGGGTCGGCGGATTTTGCGAGTGATCTACCCACCTGGCATGCAGTCGGGCATGTCCCTCTACAGGGGGGAATATTCAGAAGTAGTCAAACGTGGTCTGGGGACGATATTTGTAGTTTTTTTTTCTCCGTATTTTGGGGCATTGTTGGAGCATGTTTTGATATCCGCCCAAAACCCCCCTGTAGGGGGACAGGCCCGACCTAAACCTGGCGTTCTTCACTTTCATCCAGCTTCGTGTTGATTGATTGTTCGCTGCGCTGTACAGCAGAGCGGCGCCACGGCGCCAACTTGCCGGGCCCCTCGCGGGCCCTCGTGTGGCGAGTCCTGTCTTGTCTTGCCCTCACTGGGCGAGGATAGTGGGGCGTTCCTGCAAGAGGTACTTGCCCCAGAGTTCTCACGGCGCGCTCTGCTTCTCCAGCGTGGTATCCTAGGCCAAGGGGACGTCGATCAAAGGCCCGACTTTTTCCTCAAGCGTGAATAGGTCAGAGCTCGGAGTGAACGGCACCACGTCTCCAGGCTCCCCATGTGCACAGGTGGCAAGCACAAACTTGGAAGCCAGCGACAAGGGTCGTTGGCCGTGTGTGGCTTCTCGTCAATGTTGGTTTATGCGTACTTGCAGTACGTATGAGACGTGCTACATGTGTGGACGGGATTGGCAAAGGCATCCGGATCCCTCAGGCGCCAATCCGCCATGTCGGATGCGGCGCCAGAAGGTCTTCCTCAGTACCTATGTGATCCCAATTTGCAGGTGGTGATGCGGTGAAAGATGAAGAGCGTGACCACGCCGTACGCGTTCGGGAAGTTCTTGCCGCACTGCGGCGCTTGCAGCAACTCGCTTCAGCTGAAGAGAAGGAGAGGTCCACCAGGACCTCCGACGATATTTTCGGACGTGCCTTGGACAGGTGGTCCACAGAGCAGGAGGAGCACGACTTGACGGTGGATACCATGCAGGTGGAGCTTGATTCGAAGAGGGCAGACTTTGCAGCCGCCAAGAAAGAGCTCGACGCTATCCGCCGCGAAGTGGTCACGGCACGCGCGGCTGTCATGGCTGTTGGTGCCGCTGATTCAGGCACAGGCAACCTTGGCTTGGCTTTCGCCGGGCCCCAAGGAGTTGTTGCAGCGGACCCTGGTGCAGTCATGGCAGGCAATACCGCTACAGCCCTGGAGCCCATCGGGACGTACCTTGCAGAGCTCCAGCGTGATTTCGAATGGCGTACGTGCGGTGTGGCAAGTGCGAGGCCGCTTGCAGCGGCGAGCGTCTCTGCTGGTGGCACTCCTTCTCCTGAGACGCCGACACCCCCATGGGGCATGCAGAATAGAGCTGACCTCGACGTAGTCGCAGCAGACTCAGGAAGAGGTGACCGTGCTGATACTTGATTTTGATTGCACCATTGCTATGTTTGATGTTCGCAATTTCGTGTTGTTCACAGCTGAGCGGGAATCGAACACCTTCTCCCGTGACGATGTCGGTGATGCGGTCGTTGGTTGGATCCCGGATTGATGGCGACTCAGTCGGGATTGACACACCGCATGGATCGACATTGGCGCACGCGATGGCGTCTCGCCTGCTCCTGCGGCCCCTTGCCCTGGGGATGGGCGCGCGCTCTACGCGACGCACAGGGTTGGGCCGCATGGCCGCGAACCCGCATCTGGATCAGGATCGAGCACCACCACGGCCGCTCCTACGGCCACTTACTCTGGCGGGGGGCGCGCGCCCTACGCGGCGCGCGGGACTGATCCAACGGGCCGCGAGTCCACGTGCACGCCGACCTCGTCAGGTCGCTCGGAGGCTGGGAAGGTGGTGCGCCCATGTGCGTCACCATCCCAGCCGTTGGCTCTCACCGGGTGGCCGTGCCCTTTCTTCGGGTCTCCTTCGCGCGTCTGGCAGAGCCGAGGTGGGGTCTGCTTCTTGCTGGAGCTGCTGGGCACTGCAGTTCTGGCGATCGTGCCCACGATCACGTCGGCGCGCTTGGCGGGGGCTCCACAGCGGCCGCAGTCTCACCGTCGAGTGGGTGCGCCGCCAGGCCCGGGAGGCGCGCCGCCAAGAAGCGGCCTCTCCCCCGTGCGGCGTCGAGTGGGAGTGGATGGCCGCAGCTCCATGATCTGCTGGAGTCCACATCTCATGTGCCCGTTGTCTCTGCCCAGGAGCTCGCGTTGCGGGGCGATGATGTCTTGGGGGCCCCACGTGTGGGCAGCGCGACGCGGATGGAGGCCTTTTCTAACCCAGCCTCTCCTTGGCGCGGCCTCCACGCGCAGGGCGGGGGTCGGCGTCTTCGTTCGCGGCCAGATCGGGGCAGCGGTCGCGACGGGCTTCCCCGCCTCGCGGGCACTTGTACCAGTGCATTCCGTAGCTGTGCACGTGCGAGCTCGGCTGCGGCGCGGCTCTCTGGCGTCTTCGGTGTGCCTCGAGCAAGGTGATACGCTACTTGGGGCCACTGCGGATGCATGGCGCCAGCTGGGGAGTTGGCTCACGCACTGCAGGTTGCCATTCTGGGCCGGTG